AAATCAACCCAGCATACAATCCCATTTCCACCTTACCTTTGATGTTGTGCTCTCCAAAGGAATCCCGTGCAGACAAGGCAATTTAGGAGGAAAAATAAATCAGACTTATTTGGTAGAAAGTTACTCTTTTTTTCTAAGCCATTTCATTCCGCTGCACTGTGAAAACAAGTGAGCATTGTAGGGCAGAGCCAGTTGAGGCTTTCCTGCCAGTGGACTTTACTTCCTGAGGGGAGGAGGAAAGGCTGTAACTTGAGAGCATCTCAGGCCCGCCCTCCACCCACCCCTTGCTCAGAAGGTAGACTTTTTCACTGTGGGATCAAAAGTAATTGTCAAGTAAACTAAGGGCAAAATCCTTTTTGTGACTGTGCTCAAGGCTGGGGGATGGGGCTTTAGGATTCTAATGCACATTCCAGAGGTTCCTGAGGGAGATAATCTAGACTTGCTCATAGAGGTGGGAGATACATTTTCTGGACCACAAATAACAATCATGGGGGTTGGAGTGAGTGCTTAGTATGTATAAGGCCTTGGCTCAATCCCCAGCACTAGGGGTGGGGTGGGGAAGGCAGTCTTAAGTAAATTCAGACTGTGTGATCCTTTGTGTTCTGGTTACAAATTTGGAGTTTCAGGTCTAATTTTAATCTTTTCTTTTTATACTTACATATCTTAACTTCAAATACCTCCCATAAAAGGAGTATATTTACAGTAATATCAGTGAAGCTTTTTTCTTATTGAATTTTGGATTAAGGCTATTTCTCCTAGAAAACTACTGGGACAGTTCAACTTTCTATTCCTATTTCCTTCTACTGTACCCTACAAAAAAAAAAAAAAAGGCCAATGGGAAATTGCCTTTCATCTCCCTACACCAATATTCCAGATTTTAAACCAGGGTGTATTTTAGGCCAAAGTGTTTTTCTTGTTGTATCCAGAAATTCTGCATGTTCCCTTTTAAAAAGCAAGGGGTTTCTCACCCTTTTAAAGCCATACTATAATATTTTTTAATGAAAAAGTTTAGTTGTTTGGGAAAATGCTCTATAAGTGTAACCATGGAAAGATTATGCAATTATGTGGTGCTGGTGGTAGGGATCAAATAAACATTCAGCAAAAGGCAAAACCCAAAGGAAAGGGGAGAATGCTTTTCAGAGAGCTCTTTGTTAATCACACACTCCAGAAAACATTTTTAGTAAACATCTGTAGGACTGTATTTGTTTTTTTTTGGTGGCACACTTGTTGCTTTTTTAAAGCAAGGCTCTCTGATTCTAATCACAAGATGAGATCAAACTATGCTTTATATTGATAGAGAGGTCTGATTCCCGAGGCTGGGGACAGATTTGAAATGTGGCAAACAGGGAGTCTAAGAAAGTAGCAAAGTCCCAGAGATAAGCCCTTCCAAACCTAAGGAAGCTTTTAGGTGTAATGGGAATTGCAAACTTGGTAGAATGTCAGCTTTGCCATTTTTTTAAGCATTAAAGCTCTAGAAAAGTTACCTTTACTGAGTCCATTTGTGGGAAATACTATTTTTCAAGGTTGTTGTAAGGATTAACAGTATATATATAAAGTGACTATGTTAACCATCTATTGCTTATTGATGGAGCTGCTGTTGGTAAGCATTCTTAAACTATGCTGGGTGTGGTGGTACATGCCTATAATCCCAGCAATTTGGAAGGCTGGAGCAGGAAACTCTCAAGTTCAAAGCCAGCTTTGGCAGCTTATTGAGGCCCTGAGCAATTTAATGAGAGCCTATCTGAAAATAAAAAATTGAAGAGGAAAAAAAAAAAAAACTAGGAATGAAGCTTAGTGGTAAAGCACCCCTGGGTTAAATCCTAATAATAATAATAATAATAATAATAATAATAATAATAATAATAATAATAAATAAATCCAACTTTGGGATATTAGTTAACATTTTGGCATCTGTATCCAATCCCCAATCCACTTAAAGCATGTAGGGTGTTTTACATAAACAAATAATTCCCTCAGCCTCAAACCTAGTCTTGGCCCTAAAGCTATTCAGCAAGAATACAGCATGTTTTCTTAAGTTACCACTATTACCCTGATTCCTTTGTCAAATATAACCCATGAATAATTTTTAACCCTTAGGGACTTAAGTGTTTAATACAGTGCTACAGCCTAGAATTAAGAAATTTTAATTTTTTTAACTGAAACTTTACATGTCCTCATTCATTCCTTATGCAGAAAAGAGTTAACATAGTTGGCCTGAGATTCAGGTCTTAAAAAGTGAAAGGTCTTCAAAAGTTGGCCTCTGCCTGGCATCTGGGAACTTAGATTCAGTAGAGTTCCCACTATTCCCTAAAAGGTGCACTGTGCCTAATATGCAAACAACATGTTTTATGCTGGACAGTTGCTTTTCTCTGGGACTCTGGAAATTTAGCATGTGCTGAGCAGAAAGTGCTTATGTGACCACCCTCCATTGGGCACTGAATCTCCAGCAAGCTTCCCTGGTTGGTGGCATTTCACACTTATCATAACCCACTGCTAGGGGAATTAAGTACATTCTATGATTTCACTGAAAGAGGATTTTTGGAAGAGTGTGCCTGGTTTCTTCTTGACATGCCCCATCTACCTTTTCCTTTCGTTGATTCTCCTTTGTATCTTTTTACTGTATTAAATAACATTAGTACAAATGCTCAGTCCTTTGAAGGCCTACTGAATCATCAAACCTGAAGAAACTATGGCACACACCTGGAGTCCCAGTCACTCTTGCTGAAGCAAGAGGACCTCAACTTTGAAACCAGCCTCTGACAACTTAGCGACACGACAGCTTGTCTCAAAAAATAAAAAGGGCTGGTTTTGTGGCACAGTGGTAAAGCACCCAGTACTGCCAAAAAAACACAACACTTGAGGGACTATATATTTATCTGTTTTCCAGAGAAATAATAAAATATTCCCTAGAATGGCGGTAGGGGGTGGAGATATTGATTTACCATAAGGAATTAACCCACATGATTATAGAGGCTGAGAAGCCCAAAATCTATACCCAGGAAGCTGCAGACCTAGTGATAGTATGGTTCCAGTTCAAATCAAAGGACGGGAGAACCAATGATACAATTTTCAGTTCAAGTTTGAGTCTGAAGGCAGAAAACCAATTCCCCAGAGCTCAAAGAATGATTTTCAAGCTCTGTATTCTACTCAGGTTTTTAATGGCTTGCATGAAGCCCACCCATATTTGGGAAGGCAACCTTTACTGATTCTGACGTTGATCTCATCCAAAAACACCCTTGCAAGCACACAGAATAATGTTTAACTAAATATCTTAGCATCTCAAGTTATAAAATTAGCCATCAAAGGAGCGGTCTTGAAAAAGACCATACTCCAGCTTTAGTTCTGTAGACTAAAAAATCGGCCATCTCCAGCCCTGAACTCTTTCCAGTATTTCTTAGGTTTTATCAATAAGTTGGTTATGCTGTCCTACCTTCAAGGGGTGGTTTTGAAAAATAAATGACGGGGCTGGGAATGTGGCTCAGGCGGTAGCGCACTCGCCTGGCATGTGTGCGGCCCGGGTTCGATCCTCAGCACCACATACCAACAAAGATGTTGTGTCGGCCGAGAACTAAAAAATAAATATTAAAAGATTCTCTCTCTCTCTCCTCTCTCACTCTCTCTTTAAAAAAAAATTAAAAATTAAATGAAAAGTATGTTACTCATATCACTGAATAAATAGTTCCCACCTCTTGCCGTGGTGCTGGACAAGGGAGTATCTTAGGCAGAGGTGTTTGTCCTGAATGCAATGTGAGACTTCTGAAGAAAGGTTTAGAACTGTGCCTGGTACACAGTGAATACTCAATACATGTTAATGAACATGAGGAATGCTGTCAGAAATTCAGCTTCAGGGGTGGGGATGTGGCTTAAGTGGTAGCATGTGCAGGGCACTGGATTCGATCCTCAACACCACATAAAGATAAAATATATTGTGTCTACCTAAAACTAAAAAAAAATATTAAAAAAAGAAATTCAGCTTCAATCTAAAATCAAACTTTGTTACCTTTTCTCTAATCCTTCCATTTGACTGCTTGTAAGGCACCTAATTTTCCTATTCAGTCATCCTAAATTACTTATTCATCATTTCCCGTTTATCTCTTTGATCCTGAGCTAATTATCTCACCAGATCTATTTCTTCTCTAAAATGGAGATGAATCATAAAATTGAGGACGATAAATGCATGTAAATTACTTAGTATGTATCTAGCATGTAGCAACAATCTCAAAAAAGGTTGGCTGTTATCACAAGAAACTATGAATTAGATGCATGAATGAGTAACCAAGAGTTTTCTCCTTGGGAAAAATGAGCTTGGTCTACAGATTAATCCTAAATTATCCCACTTAGTCTTACCTGCTTCAAAACCCAGGAAAAGGCTCAGGATTCTTTTTTTCAATATTTTTTTTAGATGTATGGACCTTTATTTTATTCATTTATTTATATGTGGTGCTGAGAATGCTGGGCAGGCGCTCAGTAGCCACAGCCTCAGCCGCAGGCTCAGGAGTCTTAGGCAGGTAAGTCTGTGAGTGAGCTGTCCTTTCAGTTTTTGTTTGTTTATTTGTTTTGATAACCTCTTAACAGACCAAACTAAGGCATTTGCTGTTATATAAATATTCCTTTTGGTATATCCTGTCTTTGTTAAGCCATTTCCTCTGCCTAGAAACCCTTTATTCCAAGTACCCATTACATTTTTTAAAAATTATATATATTTTAGTTGTAGGTGAACACATACCTTTATTTTATTTTTATGTGATGCTGAGGATCAAACCCAGTGCTTCACAGGTGCTAGGCGAGCACTCTATCACTGAGCCACAACCCCAGCCCTATTTATTTATTTAGAGACAGGGTCTCACTGAGTTGCTTAGTGCCTTGCAGTTGCTGAGGCTGGCTTTGAACTCATGAATCTCCTGTCTCAGCCTCCTGAACTGCAGGGACAGGCACGTACCTCTGCACTGGGCCATCCATTACATCTTTAGAGGCCAAGTTTATACTACAAAACACTCTTGTTGTAGTTGTACATTTATTCAGCAAGTATTCATTCAGTGTCTGTACAAAGAACTGTTCTAGATTCTTACTCATCCCCTCAAGATGTATATGCTAACAGGGAAGAGATAATAAAACACACACACAATGTATGGAATATGACATACATCCATTTCCCTTCTGTACAAACTCAAGGGCTTGAGACATGCCTCACTCAAAATCTTTGTTTCCCTTCTGATATTCTGGATATTTTTTTTAAAAATATCTTTATTTTATTTATTTAATGTGGTACTGAGGATCAAACCCAGTGCCTCACACATACGAGGCAAGTGCTCTACCACTGAGCCACAGCCACAGCCCTGGATATTTTTTATACAATGAAACATTAAATTGCTAAAGAGTAACTAGAGCTGTATTCAAATTCAATGAACTGAGGTTCTTTGTGTCTACCTGTGCACCACTCTGTTGTTGAGAAGTTAACTTATGGTAAAAGATTTTTTTCTGGCCAAATACGCCTATTTTTTCTAATGGTATGGGTAAATATTGTGGGCTCTTGAATTGGGAGTCTGAGTTCAAAAGGTATCTGCTAATCCCGTAGCCTTAGTTATACAAACACAAAAGGGCAAATTGAAGTTTTGGGAATAACTATTTAAATGATATTAGCTATGATGTTATTGAGAGAAGTATATGCTTGATTTAAATATTCATGGACACTTCTGTTAGAATATAGGCATTTTGGGAAAATTCTGAAAGAGAAGTAATTTCAAACAGATCTTTTTGAAAAACATAACTTTATAACTGAAAAAAATGAGCATTTGATTAGGATTTTAAAAGAATCCAGAAAATACCTAAGCTTTCCTCCAAGCATATTTATTTAACCTAACACAATTTTATATACAAAGTGATCTGGACATGCTGCTTCAAAACATGATCCTTATTAATATCCTGATACGTTGGTTAAAAAGCAACTCACTCTAAAATAAATAAAAAAGTACCCAATGCATATTCAATGAATGGCTTAATCACTGCAACTTAACTAGTTTTGTAAGATGATTAACATAGTAGGATTGAGTCCCTATGACAGGCTGCTGGAGAACTGATGAGAGACATCAAGAGGCCATTTTGTGCACTGCCACGGTGATGCCATCATGTTTTTGGATCATAATGTTCCTGAAAAAAAAAAAAGGAAAATATTCAATAAAATGTTAACAAGTGGGACTTCAGTATAAGACTAAAATAACATCATATTTCTATGTATGATAGCAATAAATTAGCACAACAAAAACATTTCGGTGTACTTAATGAAAATATAAAAATAAAATTAATTCTTAATCTTACTATTCACAGATACTGTCAATATTTTCCTGTTTTTTTTCCCCTTAACATTAAAATTTTTTTAATCTAATTAATTATACACAACAGCAAAATGCATTTCGTTTCATTGTACACAGCACAACTTTTCATTTCTCAGGTTGTACAGGACGTAGAATCACACCATTTGTGTAATCGTGTGTACCTAGGGTAATGATGTTCGTCTCATTCCACCATCTTTCCGTGTATGCTACTTTCTGACTCTTTTTTATCTAATGCAGATTTTTTTCTTTCTACAAAACTGTGATCCTATTGTGCATAATTTTGATCCCCCCCCCCATGTACTATTATCCTACAGTTCCTCCCTTGGAATATCCTTAGTATGTCTATTATTATAGAGGTTACTATTTGATCAGTCTTCTTTTGTGCAATTTTATTACTTTTTCTTGTAGACTGATAATTCATGAAAATTCTTACTCATTACTGAAAAGTCATTGTGGCTTGAAAGCACAATTAATTTTAGAGGTCAGCGTGTTCCTGTGGTTCCATAGGTGAAGAATTCCCTCCCAAATACTCTGAGGAATCACTGACACAGGACAGACTTTCCAGGGAATTTTCAGAATAAAAGGAAAGGAAGGGGGCTGGGAAGGGGGCTCAATGGTAGAACGCTTGCCTAGCATGTGTGAGGCACTGGGTTCAATTCTCAGCACCACATATAAACAAGTAAAGATCCATTGACAGCTATTTAAAAAAAAAAAAAGGAAGGGAATCACTGACATCTACTTACCCATTATCTGATTCTAGGCACACCACAGGAATATCAGTGGGGTCAGAGGTTAGCTTAGCTGCTTGTTGGGCTAGAACAAATATAACCCCAGCATGTTCATCTGACAGAGTCCCACGACCTGGAAAATAGATGACATCATGTTACCTGACTGTCTTCAAACAAGTACAGAGCTATAGTAGTATCTCCCTTTGAATTAGGAACTGATATGAAATTATTTTCCTTGATATTCAGCTGGTTATATCAGGAAGAAAGTCAAGCAACAATCCTTGAAAGTTATAAATGACAATTTTCAAAGTCGTTCCCATCACCATCTCTAAACATCATCTTCTCAAGCACATAAGGAAGTTGTAATTCAAGTCAATTTAAAGTCATAAATTCATTTTATACAGTTTACTAAAATCAAGAAGTTCAAGAGAAATTAACAAAAAGCAGTCAATAAGAACAAATTAATTTAGGGCTGGGGTTGTAGCCCAGTGGTAGAGCGCTTGCCTAGCATGCATGAGGCACAGAGTTCGATCCTCATCACCACATGGAAATAAAATATTGTGTCCACCTAACACTAAAAAATAAGTATTAAAAAACAAATTATAAGAAATTAATAAGGGGGCTGGGGATGTGGTAGCGCGCTCGCCTCACATGTGTGTGGCCCGGGTTCGATCCTCAGCACCACATACAAAGATGTTGTGTCTGCCAAAAGCTTAAAAAAATAAATAAAAATTCTCTCTCTCTAAAAAAAAAAAAAGAAGAAGAAGAAATTAATAAGAACAAATTAATTTAGTGAAATTAATTCCTTTTGAGAAATCTGATTTTCTTTTACCGAGTTCAACCTCAAAGGACATATTTGTATTTTGTCAGGAGATAAGAGGTAAGATCACCTTAATAGCATATGTGAATATTCTGTAAGCAATTCTTTCTTTTTTGTTCTGGTTCTTGGGATTGATCCCAGGGTGATTAACCACTGAGCCACATCCCTAGCCCTTTTAATTTTGAGACGGGGTCTTGCTAAATTGCTGAGGCTGGCTTTGAACTTGTGATCCTCCTGCCTGTCTTCTGAGCCACTGGGATTTATAGGCATGCACCACACGCCTGGCCCTGACTCAGAACTTTTTGATAACATTTTATAATATAATTAAATGTGGGGTCCCAAATACAAAAATTAATTACTAAGTTTACAATAGACTTTTACACATAAAAGCAACATAAGCTTAACTGTGCCTTAAATTAAGAGAACAGACTTGCCACCACGACAAACTATAGATTCACTATTGTTATAGAAAACATTCACTGACACAGTGTAGTCTTCAAACACTTTGAAGTTTTTTCAGAAAATGATTCAGTTTAAGATTTCTACACGTGAATTTCAGTCTTTCCATTACTGAGCCTGGCAAACTCTTCAAAAAGTTGACCTTTTTCCTCCAATGAGTATATAAAAATGACTAAGTTACAGATTACCAAAATGGTGCCAGGCACATTAAGCACATTATTCTACTATTATTGCCATTATTAAACAACACCCCACTTGTTTAATAGATAACTGGAAACTCTGAAGCGCTGAAAGATTCTTTTTGGTCCAAGTTCACATTACTAACAAATGGAAGAATGGGTTGAACTTTGATGTGTTCGATTTTCAAATCCCTGTTTTGACTGCCTACTAATTTCTTGTTAAGAGTAATTGGGCTAGCATGTAATTGGGCTAACAAATAACACCACCCACCTTGCAGGGGTACTGTGAAAATCTGACACATCTTAACAGTTCCAGTATAATGAATTCAATAAATGGTAATTGTTGTCACTATCTGAAGTCCTTTCTAGACCCAATGTAAAATGATTCAAATACCATTTATGTAGACAACTATTTTGTACTACAATGATAAGAAAAATTTATATTCTTTTTAAAAAAATATTTTTTTAGACTGACACAATACCTTTATTTTATGCATCTTTATGTGGTGATGAGGATCAAATCCAGGGCCTCACATATGCCAGACAAGTGCTCTACTGCTGAGCCATACCCCCAGCCCCAGCCCAAACGTTTCTATTCTTTATGTGCCAATTAAAAAGTTTTAATTTTCTAATCTTATCTGGAAAGAATCTCTACTCCCACAAAAATTCTCAGAAACTGCCAAGGTAAGGGGAAATAAAAGCTAGAGCATGGTAGTGTAACAGGCTCCACATTAACCTTATATAGGGATTGGATAAAACACTTACAGCCCAGATTAAGTCCTTGTGAATCTGTGCACAGGACTCCAACAATGGACGGATTCTTCATTCTAATTCCAGGAACACATAAAAATATTTAAATAATTACACCAAGTACAGACTTTCTGTGTACCAGACATTTTAAAAATGCTTTGAGTATTTCCCAATCTTTCTTCATTACCACACCCAAAAAATTAAGTTATATAATTTATTTAAATAAAAGGTTTTCTGAGAAAAGACTGTCAAGTGCTGCTGAACTTTCAAGGGCCACAATATTGCAATATCTAGGATTTTTTTTTTGCCTTTGTTATAGATGTATGCTTTAGCATATGAACTCGTTTAAGTTGAAAAGCTTATTAGGAGTTCCCTCCTAGAGAGAAGAGAGAAACTGGACACTGGCGGCAGACAGGTGTCTCCCTCTATGCCTTATACGTTTCCAATTTTGAATTTCATATAGATACTAGAAAAATTTAAGGGACGATACATTTCCTTAAGTTCCAAGTAACCAGAAGATTACATACACGAGAAGAGAAACGTGTGTGTGTTTACACTGCAGGGCTCAATGCACATCCGGTATTCCCCAAAATTAATCCGTTTCCCAAGCTTGACGAACCACGGTGACCTTACAGACTATTTAAAAGCCACAGATGGCTTGAGCCCAAGAGACCTGGTGAGGAAGTGTTCGGAGGCCAGCGGGATTTTAATTCCGGGTCACCCACTCCTTCTGAGTCCCAGGGCTCAAGTAGAACTCGGGGCGTCCCCCAAACTCCCCGGCCAACACCCGCAGCTCTCTCCATTTGTACCACCCAAATCCCCCTAGTGCGACCTCAGGACAGCCGGAAGGGCCCGCGCTACTCACGTATCCTCCAAGTGCTGCTCCAAAGTCGCCTCCATCCCGCTCGAAAGCCACCCCGGCGCCGGTCCTCCGTTACAGGCCTTGGTCACATGACGCGGAGGAGGTACGCACTCAGACGGCGCCTCCAGAGGGACCAAATTCATAGAGGCGCAGCGTCCGCGTTTTTTGCCGGTAAACATCACTGCGCTCCAGCTCGCGCGGGGCAGAGACCCACGAGAGTTCTGCTACCGTGGTGAACCACGCCTGGCTGCTCCGCACAACCGGAGGCGCGGGTTTCGCCCCAGAGGCAAGACGTCCACAGCTGGACCTCTCTGGCACTTGACTTTTGCGATTTTTTAACCTTCGGATTACTCGGATTACGGTTTAAACGACTCCAAGTTCTGGCTCGCGCCGGCTCTCGTTCGAGTTTTACTGTAACCCGTGGGTCAGGCCGGGTGTCATCTGGGCAGAGGGGCAGGTACCCAGAAGAGGCAGGGCCGCAGGGTCTGAAGGTCTGAGATCGCACACTGACAAAGTGTCGGAACTTTAACAAAGGCAGATACTCATAGCGAAGGCTCAGAAAGTTTTTGAGGGGAATAGTGGCTTTTAAGTCATACCTCTTGAGACAACTGGTAGGAGTACCCAGTTTAAACATGACTTTATTTTTATTTTTTTTTTTAAAGGAAAAAGAGCCATCCATAGTCCCACTGTCCAGAGATTACTGTTAATCCCTTGGAGAATATCCTTTTCAGATGGCTAGCTTTGCAAGTGTGTACTTTGACCGTTTATTTTTTAAAATTTTTTTTTAAAGCAAGTTCAGCATACATACTGGACATAAAATTCTGTATTTCACAGAATTTAACATAAATATTTTTTCATGAGACTAGTATTCACTTGCATCCTTTGCAACAGGGCAAATTATTCCATGTTATAGCTATATCTTGATTGAATTAACCAAACTCTTATTAATGTCCAGTTAGGATGCTTATAGTGTTTTTGTTGTTGTGTGTGTGTTTTGGCTGCTGCAATCCTGAGTGAATATCCTCATTGCCAGATATTTGGGTCAAAGGACATAGTAATTTTTAGGATTGTTGATATATACTCTGCAGAGATGTGGTGCCAAGTTACATTCAGATGTGTAGCATTTTGATGGAAGTGGGGTGTATCCGTGGACTCTCCTATCCCTCCTGGGTCTCTACCCTCTCTTGTGCATCTTTCCCTGCACTGTTTTTTCCAATGCTGTGACCAGCATCTTCATTTTATCTTCTGATCAGGGGCCCAGCTCCAGAGCTCTTCAGAACTTGAATTCAGAGTCCTTCTTCACTACAAAGTGGTTGTGATGAAACTTGCAGAATTTTAATTAAAAAAAAATTCTAGTTTGGGTGTTGTAATTTGGTGGATTTGAACTCTTGTTCTAGAGAATTTATGTTGTTAGGAACAGCACAATGTAGGCCATACAAATTTTAGAACAGCAGTTTAAAACTATTCTTGAAAGATAGGGTTAGTAGGGCTGGAGTTGTGGCTTAGTGGTAGTGTGTGAGGCACTGGGTTCGATTCTCAGCACCACATAAAAATAAAGACAATAAAGTCCATCAATAACTAAAAATATATTTTAAAAAAGATAAGGTTAGTGGTAGAGTACTTGCCTAGCACGTGTGAGGCCCTAGGTTCGATCCTCAGCATTGCATAAAAAAATAAGTGAATAAAATAAAGGTATTGAGTCCATGCACAACTATGACTTGAAGAGGTTTGTGCCAGGGTCTAGGGAAGTCAGCCTGCTTCCTGCCAGAAGTCATGCCAAGGAAGCTGCTCATCTCTGTACCACCTCCTTGTGGTTCCATGTGCTAAAGCTTTGCAGGGCTCTAGTTTTCTAAAGCTTCACAGTCTGTCCAAATAGAAATATAATGTGAGTCATATTTGTAATTTTAAATGCCCTGATAGCCATAATAAAAAGTAAAACAAATTAATTTTAATAACATTTTTAATCCAAAATATCATTTTAACATGCAATCAATAAAAATAAAGATAGCTTACACTTTTTCAACTATAGCATGCCTTGAAAATCCAATGTATATTTTACACTTAGAGCACATTTCAATCAAGCCTAACCACATTTCAAATGCTCAATAGCTGTAGGTGGCTAGTGACTATGACACTGGCCAATGTAGCTTCAGGGTATCTCAGCTGATCTCAAAGCCAGATCAATGATTAAAGGATTCTCAGAAGGGCTGCTGATTACTTTTTAAGTTGTAAGGAATGCCTTTGAAAGGCAAAGGAGAAAGTAGGGAGAGAATGGCATCTGACCCACAGCCTTGTCATTCGGGAAATGATGTGGGAAAGCAAGCTTTCCATACCACCCCCTCTTTCTCTGCCCTGCTGTCCTCCTGCCCCTGAGCAGGAAGGCAGAGGGAAAGGAATAGTGAATAGAAGCTGGGCAAGTGCTGGGGGACTGGAGTGGTGCTGCAGGAGTTATCTGACCCCTAATTGTTTTCCACCTTCTTCAGCTCAATAGGATATTTGATGAAACTTTATTCTTGGTTTTGAATACAAGTGACCATTTCTGGGGGTAATAGTGTTTCAGAGCAAGTCCCATCCATGTTAGCCAAAGTGATTCCACTACCAGTTGTTTGCAGTCCCACAGATAAGATATCAAACAAGTCATGCATAGTAGCAGATGGGAGTTTATTAGAAAGGAAAAGGAAGGGGGAAAGGGGACTCAAGTAGGGGAGAGAGAGGGAGAGAGTGGATTGTCTCAGAGGAGAGGGACAACACATTCCCCTTTTTCTCCATTTTTATTGGGGGTCCCAGGGACGTTTCCTAACAAGTTCTGTCCAGGTCCATTCCTCAGCATTTTTTTTCCAGACAGGGTCTAAATTGCTGAGGCTGGCCTCAAACTTGCATTCCTTCTACTTCAGCCTCCCAAATTGCTGGGATTACAGGCATGCTCCACCACTCCACTTTCGACTGATAGTAGGATAACATCAGACTTTCAAGTCCTTGCTGTGCTTGGTTTTACCCCGTGGATGGGAGACTTTACTGTAGTAATGAGGTGTAAAAGATCCAAAGGCAACTCTGGGTCACATTGGCCCATGCTGATTCGTTCTATTCTAATTGGGACTTGTTCTTACAGATTTTATCATTGGGGAAGTTTATTTCTATTTATCTTATCTTTCTGTGTCCTAGAAACTAATTCTTATGTGCAGGGAGGACTCTTTGGGCTCAAATTTCTCCTGAAGATAACAGGTTATTTGCTGACAATATAATGTATCCTATTGACTTAAGGCAAACAGTGCCAGGACAACCTCAGGCAATTTTTTTTTTTTTTTAAGAAAGCATGTGGGATCTGTAAACCCAGCAACTCAGGAGGCTGAGGCAGGAGGCTCATAAGTTCGAGGCCAGCCTCAGAAACTTATTAGACCCTGTCTCAAAATAAAATATAAAAAGGGCTTGGGATATGGCTCAGTGATTAAGTACGTTTGGGTTCAGTCCCGCATACAAAGAGAGAGAGAGAGAGAAAGCACATGGGGTTCAGCACAGAAAGCCCAGTCTATAGAGTCATCTTCTTGACTTCCATGTTTCCACCACTCATGTCTGTGTCTGTTTGATACTTAAGAGAAGGTCCATAGCACCCACAATAAGGTATTTGTCCTATTGTATTCTCCATTTCTGCATCCTGAGAGCCACAGAGTAAATAGGAATATAATCAATACTCACTGGCGAGTCTAATGGCATATTTTTCTGTATGTATGGTACTGGGGGTTGAACCCAGGGACACTCTACCACTAAGTTACATCCCCAGCCCTTTTTATTTTATTTTTGAGATGAGGTCTTGCTGAGTTGCTGAGGCTGGCTTTGAACTTGTGATCCTCCTGCCTCAGCTTCCTGAGTTGCTGGGATTACAGGCATTTGCCACTGTGCCCAGCTTGATGACATATTTTGGAAAGGACTCTGTAACAGAGAACCATCATGTCCTGAACATTGACCACTTTTAGTCTCTTCTTTCTTCTTCCTCCATAAATAAGCTCTTGGAAATGAAATTCCCAGGAGGGTTCATTAGAGAATGCCAGAGTCCACATGTCCTGACTGAGGGTGGGACAGAAGTGCAGGGGGTCTCAGACCTTGTGTGTCAGTCCAGTGCTGTTGGACCAAAACAACCCTAACCCCTCTTCCTTGACCTAGCAGAATTCTCCTGAGAGGCCCATTTAAAAAGTGCAGCTCTAATAGTGGGTTCAGCTCCCTTCTGGATGCAGAGTCTCTGTACTAGACTGTGGTCACTCTCTCAAGTGTTTGGGGTCACAGGCCTTCAGTGGAATAAGCCCTTATGAGCCACCAGAGGGCACCAAGGCCACAGAAAGCCCTGATCAGATGAAGGGTCTGGGGTGAGGGAAAGGAATCTGTGTCTTTTGAGATACCGTTGATAGAAAATAGTGAGGAGGGCATCATGCTAGGTGGGCGGGCTTGGAATCAGATGTAGACTTGAATCCTGTCTTGGCCACTGACTACCATATGACTTCTCAGCCCCAGAGGGTACCTCTATGATGTAGAGGTATACCAGGGTGTAGGGAAGAGTATAGAGGTATATTATGTAAGGGGCTGGTGCATTGTGGACATCAGTCTGAGTAAGGAAACCTGTTTGTTTCTTCAGGTTGTTTATTATCTAGGTGAAGGCTGAGAATGTAGCTCAGTGGTAGAGCGCTTGCCCAGCATGCAGGAAGCCCTGGATTTGGTCCCCAGCACTGCAGAAGGAAAGAAAGAATAATAATAATAATAATAATAATAATAATAATAATAATAATAACAATAATAATAATAATATAATCTATGTGAAGATGGACATAGAAAAAGTTCAAAATAAGAGCAGAACAACTATAAGCATCAAGCAGTCTAGTGCTCATGAGAGAGGCTAGGTTTACATAGCTTCTTTTTAGAACTGTGTTAAATGAGGTTATTATGGTTTGGATGAGAGGTGTCCCCCAAAAGCTCACATGGGAGACAATGCAAGAAGGTTCAGAGGAGAAATGGGTTACAAGAGCCTTAACCCAACCAGTGAATTAATCCCCTGATGGGATTAATTGAGTGGTAACTGAAGGTAGGTGGGGTAGGGCTGGAGGAGGTGGTGCATTGTGGGTGTGGCTTTGGGGTATATATTTTTTATCTGGTGAGTGAATTCTGTCTCTCTGCTTCCTGATCATCAAGTGAGCCGCTTCCCTCCACGACACTCTCCTGCCATGATGTTCTACCTCACCTCGAGCCCTGAGGAATGGAGCTTACTGTCTGTAGACTGAGACCCCTGAAACTGTGTGAGCCTGCAAATAAACTTTTCCTCCCCTAAAATTGTTCTGGTCAGATCTTTTAGTCACAGCAGCAAAAAAGCTAAGTAAAACAGAAATAATTAATTAGACTTTTTAAATGTATTTCTTATAATAATAGGCTTTTCTGTAGTATAAAAATTATAAAACACAATGAGGAAAAACAGTCAACTGAAATTCTAGCCCTAACTGTAATGTAAAATAGCTAAATAGAATGCAGTAAGATTTGCATAAGTTGGAGATGGGAAAGGCACTTTTTAGGATCACAAGCTGCCTTCCACCTAAAGCCTCTCACCCCAATGGAGCTGAGACACAGCACCCTGGTGGGGAGCACCTCTACCTTTCCAAAGCCGCTACTATTATGTCCCCTTTTACAGTTAAAATCCTGAGGCTCAGAAGATCAGAATTTGCTCAAGATCACCCTGCTGGCAAGAGATGGAACTGAACTATTATCCTCCCTCTGTCACTTCAGTCCTGGCACAGTGATAGAAGGAAGTGATAGAAGGGAGTGGGGCTGTTTGGGAGGCCCTGTCCAGATCCCTTATTCTACAGAGAAGGAACCTGAGGCTCTGAGAAGGGTTCCATTTGAGATCTTTTACTGATTGAGACCTTTTACTTCAGATTTTTAACTTTCTTTTGAAATCCAACTCTATGGTGCTTCCAGATGCTGCCCCAGAGCTTTAGTTCAACCAGCTCCAGAGACATTCATTGTGATGGATTGAAAGGTGTCTCCCCAAGATTCATATGTAGGGTCCTAACCCCCAGAATCTCAGAATGTGACTTCCTTGGAAGATAGGACCTTTGTAGACATAATCCAGTTAAAATGAGGTTATTAGAGTAGACCCTCATCCAGTATGATTGGGTCCTTATCTAAAGAGAAAATTTGGACTCAGAAGTGCTTAGAGGAAAGATAACAGGAGGTCATAGAGGGAGCAGACAGCCATCTCTAAGCAAGGAGACAGGCCAAGAACAGATCCTCCCTCACAACCCTCAGAAGTAACAAACCCTGCCAATAACTTGATTTTGGACTTCCACCTTGCAGACTTGTGAGATAATGCATTTCTGTTTGGTTAAGCCACCTAGTGGGCTGGGGATGTGGCTCAAGCGGTAGCGCACTCGCCTGACATGCGTGCGGCCCAGGTTTGATCCTCGGCACCACATACAAACAAAGATGTTGTGTCCACCAAGAACTAAAAAATAAAATACTAAAAAATTTTCTCTCTCTCTTTCTTAAAAAAAAAAAAAAAAGCCACCCAGTTTGTGGTATTTTGTTATGGCGTTCCCAGGAGACCAATATGCCCACATATCCATAAATCTGCAAGTCGAAACTGGTAGTCCCCCATTCCTACAAGGACTGGTTGAGAAGATCGCCCTCCCAGGGACAAAAGGAGATGATTTGTCCAGTCTGCCCCCAGACTTGCTACTTGGCTAAGATATGCTTCTTTTTTTGGACATGGACCATGGTAGCATGACACACTTGCCTTTGACCTTGAATCTGCTTTATGTCTCTGAATTTGACCTATAGAAAATGCTCAATAAATGTGTGTAGAAGAAGTGAGTGGGAAAATAGGCTCCTGGCCACTCTAATTCTCTTCAAGTAATGGGTTGGGCAGGGCAGTTAGGTATAGGCTGTCAGTGGATGGAAGGTGAAGTTGGTCATTGTCACATAAAGTTTAGAGCTGACCTCAAGGTCTGGAAGACACAGTGAAATATATTTTAGATGACTCAGGGTGGGCTAAAAAAGTTCCAGTGCAGGAAGCTATTTTCCCACTGCTTTATTAATTTTGCTACTAAGGATAAATGAGATGCAGACTTCTATATCCAAGTCTTCATTAGATGCCCAGTTAATGCAGCCGTGACAAATGGGAATGAAACCCCTTATGAATAAAAAAAAGATCAACCCAGTATAAAAAATTGCAGAGCAGAGAAAAGAAAATTTAGAGGAGCTGATAAAATACCGTAGCCTTAATTAGACTGTCTGCATCACACATCAAATCAGCCTTAATGCCAAGATTTATTGGCCATGGAACTGGGTAAATGAAATAAGTGCTTGAAAATAAATGGAAAAGAAATCACCTATATTGCAATGTATCTGGAAGGCTGGCCTGCACTCAGGCTTGGCCAAATGTGGGTATGCAGCCGCTCTGTTGTATACCACTGATCCCACCAGTTACCAGTCCTGCTTCCTCACATGTTAACATATAACATTAAAGAAGCACGTGGAGGCAAGCACATAGATCAGGGTTTAATTTAAAAAGGAGTAACACAGACTTCTCCTGGGAGGGAGAAGGGAGCCATAGCTGGTATCCTGAGATATATCGCAAGAAGTGAGAGTGTTCTGCCTCTTTTATACATCCTAAATTTTCTTTGTTCTCTTGCTCTCTCCCCACTTATCTCTCTCCTTCCTGTATACGTGACTAGGCCCTGGAGATGGCCCAGGTGGGATGGCCCAGGAGTGGCCAAGGTGGAGTGATCTGAACAGGAGTGGGGCTCTGGGTGCATTAATTAACAACTTTTACAACTCCCTTTATTGGATCTGGGGCAGGTTATCTTGGTAAGGATGAAGGAAAGGCTCTGAGGAATTAACATTTCAATTCCTCAGGGATGGTCTCCAACTTCCGGAGACCCAAACTGGCCTCTGTTCTCTTGATCCAATGCAATTTACCTATTTACACTGACTGCCTGCCTTAAATTCTGGCTTTACCACTCTACTGGACGTGCCTCCTTGGAGCCCCAGGTGGATGTCAAAACCCTGCTTGTGGGAGCACAATAGGTAGTGTGGTTAACTGGCCCTGCTGTTGTCCTGAAAAATCGTCCTTGAGCAGTGAAATACATTTGTATCTTTTTTTTCCCACCACCTATACATTTAGTAAAGTGGTGAGAACTAGGTGTTACTGGTTCTCAGAGATGGCCCACTCAGTTCTCACAGTTCCACCATGGAACAGAGCAGGAACTTACTTTCTGACTGCCACAGTCCACCTTGAAATCCATGTTTAGATTTGAGAGCTTATTTGCTATCACAACATGTAATTAGCTTCTTGTGAGACTTTGGACAAGTTCTCTTATGCCTAATATCTGTTTAGATAGCGATAGTACCACTTCAAACAGTATTGTGATAATTCCAGGAGACAGAGCATACAAAGCTCCTAGCACAGTCTCAGAGACCACTGGAAGCACAGAATAAATTAAAGCTCTTTTTGTTTTTGGGATTCCAAGAAGTGAGGAGCTGAGACATTTGAAGTAGTCGATCACTCAGGGTTCTTATTTATTTTTTATTTTTAAAAAATTTTTTGGTACTAGGGATTGAACTCAGGGGCACTTGACCACTGAGCCACATCCCCAGCCCTATTTTGTATTTTATTTAGAGACAGGGTCTCACTGGGTTGCTTAGTGTCTTTCTTTTGCTGAGACTGGCTTTGAACTCAATGATCCTCCTGCTTCAGCCTCCTAAGCCACTGGAATTACAGGCATGGGCCACCACACCTAGCCCAGGGTTTTTAATTTTAAAGCAATAGTTGCTGACCATGGCTTATGGAGTATGAAAGGAAATTATTACAATGACATTAGGTAGCTCATGGAATTGGAAAGGCAAAAGAGCTAAAATCATGGCATTTGCAGGTAAATGGATGGAGTTAAAGAAGATAGTGCTAAGTGAAGTTAGCCAACCCCCCCCCCAAAAAAAATGCTGAATGTTTTCTTTGATATAAGGAAGCTGATTCATAGTGGGATAGGGAGGAGGAACAAGGGATAGACTAACTCTAGATAGCACAGAGGGGTGGGAGGGGAAGAGAGGGGGCATGGCATTATTAATGATGGTTGAATGTGATGATCATTATTATCCAAAGTACACGTATGAGGACACGAACTGGTGTGAGTATACTATATATACAACCAGAGATATGCAAAATTGAGCTCTATGTATGTAATAAGAGTTGTAATGCATTCTGCTGTTATATATAAATAAAAAATAAAAGTAAAAAAAAAGAGCTCAGTCAAAGCTTCCAGTGCCAAAAGTTGTAATATGCCCAGGCTGCCCTTGCCCCTGGCAGGAATGTGCCACACCTGCCAGCTGCACAGGGGCCCCTTCTGCAGTAGGAATATAGCCCCACACCCACTGCTGCCCTTGCCAGCCAAGAGGAATTTTCCCAGAGCCTCTGAACTGAAGCCTAGGTACATTTGAAGGTGGAGCCTGAGTTACATGTCTGGCTTCTGTTGTAAGATCAGTTGGGGAGGAAACATTCTGCTTTCTGGAATTCTCATGAATACCTAAACCATAGCAAAGCCATTCATGGGGGGCTAGGTATCAAAGAAACATTCCAAGTGTCTCTTTCAGGGGGCTTCTTGCTTTGCAGGGAGGAGATTCAGCTGGGACACCTATCGCCCCTTTCACAACTTGGAGAGCAACTTTTCTGGGCAGCATCCACCCCCTGGCCAAGGGGAGGGATGCATTCTGCCTTGTCTGGAGCATGAGCCCAGACTTACAGGAAGTTCAAGAGCACTGGTCATTTTACAAGGTTCATCTAGAGATAATGGCAGTAAAAAGGAGTCCCAGAGCCTAGGTGTTAGCTATGGCCTCACTGTAGATCCACAATTTCATTCCTTTATTGTTCCCTCACCCATAGTTTGCCAAATACTGTGCTTGGAACAACAGTAGAGCAGACAGGGTCCTCACTTCCTCACTCAAGGCTCGTGGTCTATACAGTAAATAAGATAGAAATAATGAAAAAGAAATCCCGAGTTGAGTTTTTGGAGAAGATACACTTTCCAGATGTGACAGTGACAGCAGTCTACATATACTTTTGGCCCTAGCCGGAGCCTGTGGCCAGTGCTGCAGTTTGCAGACACCAGATTCTAAGGAGAGGACTCAGGGTCAGGGAGCTGTCCCTCTCCACACCTTTCAGAAACAGAGCTGCCTCAGGGATGGGGTTGCGGGAAGAAGGAGAGAGGGAGGGAAAGGAGAATGAAAAGAGAAGCATCAGGACCAAGGCCTTCTCAACGTGTGTGTGTGTGTGTGTGTGTGTGTGTGTGTGTGTGTCTTTACCCTCCATGATGCCTAGATAAGCATCTGACTCTTGGAAGGTGGTCAGTAAACATCTGTTCTGTTAGAGAAGAACTCCCCATTGGAAACGTTGATCCTCTCCAGCCCTTCATCTGTACTTCATTCCAGCTTCCAAGGAACCAGCAGGAATGGTGACAACCACAAGTGTCAACAGCAGTGAAGGCGGAAGATGCTCTTTCTAAAATATTTGACTGCTGCAGATCTCACCTCTCAAGGCCTGGGTTTCAGTATCTTACTGTAAGCTTGGTATTTTCTCTTGCAGTTAAAGAACAGTCAGGGTTTTTTGTTGTTTGTTTATTGTTTTGTTTTGGGTACTGGGGATTGAACCCCGAGGCTCTTAACCACTGAACCACATCCCAGCCATATATATATAATTTAGAGGCAGGGTCTCAATTATTTGCTTAGGGCCTCACTAAATTGCTGAGGCTGGCTTTGAACTCACCATTCTCCTGCCTCAGCATCCCAAACTGCTGAGATTATAGGCGCGCACCACCGCTCCTGGCTACACAATTCATTTTAATCCCATGGTCATCCTCTGGGAGATCTCTTTCCCCATGTTATGGATGAAGCAACTGAGGCCCAGAAAGGTCCACTGACTTGTCAAGGTATTTAGTACTTGAAAGTGCCCAGGGCCTTGGCTACCAAGCCTGAGGCCACCACTCTGGGATATTCATCCCAGGTATGCGGGCTCCTCTGTAACTCTGTTTTTGCAACCACTTGAGATAACAGCCCTGTGAGTCAGTCCCACAAAGTGGCTGAGAGCTGCCTTCTTCCTATCCCCCACCCCCACCCCACCACACCAGCAACGGGAGGACTTGTCCCCGTGTCTTCAGCACCATACAGTATATCAACTGCCACATTAATTCTGGGCCATCCGCATTCTCCCCCAGGAGAAGGTCAGAGGAAAGGAGACTCATATCTCATTGGAATTTTCAATTGCCAGAGGGGAAATAAGATGAGTATAATCTATCTGTCAAGGTGGGGAAGAGCTAATCTGAAAGCAGCATAGATCACTTTAAGAAGAGAGCAGTTTCTCAGTCTCTGGACAAGAGAATGTGAAATGAGGACCAACTTTTTTTTTTTTTTTTTTTTTTTTGTGAAAACATCAATGAACAGAGAAAATGTCTAAGGTCAAGAGCAGCAAGTTCTCTGGCTCTCTCCACTTGCCCTTCCCCAAGATGGTCATTATGTTTCTTATGTACACACACCGGGCAAAGTCCATTCCTTGTTCCTTGAAAAACAGTTAACCTTTGGTGAGGATTGATTATTGCCAGGCAGTGCAGGAGTGTTTTACACAGTCATGTGCTTGACCCAGAGAATACCTTCCGAAAAATGCATCATTAAGTGATTTTGTCTTATGAAGTCTATGTTCACATACTAGACAAGTGAGATTTTCCTGGGGGCCTGGGTACTGGGGATTGAATCCAGGGATGTTTTACCACTGAACTACATCCAGAGTCCTTTTTATTTTTTATTTTATTTTTTTTAATATTTATTTTTTTAGATGTAGATGGACACCACACAATGCCTTTATTTTTATGTGATGCTGAGGATCGAATCCGGGTCCTGCCTGTGCTAGGCGAGCACTCTACCACTGAGCCACAATCCCAGCCCCCTTTTTATTTTTTATTTTTTAAATTTGAGATAGGATTTCCCTAAATTGCTGAGGCTGGCCTCAAACTTCTGATCCTCCTGCCTCAGCCTCCCAAATGTTAGGGATTACAGGTGTGTGGCAACTGGCAATCCCTGACTTCCTGCTGCTCCTGTCATGCACTGGCAGCGTGTACTTAGTGGTGTTCTTGCAGGCCCTGGGCTCTCATTGTGCAGTTCACAAAGGTTTCAATTTATAGCCTGCGACTTTGCTCCCAAGCAAGACTATAGTTCTGTCCTTAAAAGTCTGGAAACCTGGTGTTCCACTTGACCTCCCAATGTATGAAAGTCCTTCAGGCCTTGAAAATAGGGAGTTTTCATCCGTATTGAGGATTTGTTCTGGCAAATAATTTCCCTCCACAATGAACTCATTTGAAGTTTCCAAATAATCTTCATCTCCCTTTGCATCGGTGCTCCCAAACTCACCACTGACTCTCACATGATGTCATGAAAAACATCATTATAAATGATGGAATCTTTTTTGTGTTTGTTTGCAATGCTGAGGATTGAACTCAGGACCTTGCACATGCTAGAGTCAGCCCTTTTTATTTTGAGTTGATATCTTACTAAATGGTCCAGACTGGTCTCAAACTTGTAATCCTCCTGCCTCAGCCTCCTGAATCGCTGGGATTACAGGCATGAGCCACTGTCCCCAGCAGGTCCAGCCTTTTCTTTCAATATCACAAACTTTTTGCTTTGGCCCTGATCTTCATGGTGCTGAAGAGGATACATTGGTCTACAATCCAGGCCATTAGAAGTTTCTCCATATCTGATACAGAACCTTCTCAAACTTGTAGTAGTGTTGCTGCCTTTAACACAGCAATCCCTTAATAGCTTCCGTCATTTTGCTTCTGTTCATCAAGATCATACCTATTGCGCAACGACGGGATGTGCCTGGCTGGAGAGAAGTAACTATTGCTGATTGTCTCCAGGTCAATCATGACATGGCCTCTTCCTGGCCCCCTTAGCAGAGGATTTTTTATGTTTGGAGACCTTGATGAACAAAACAATGTTAAATCAAGCATGAAAGAAAGTGATGGCATTGAGAGTGAGATAAACACACTCCTGGGCACGGTGGTGCACGCCTGTAATCCCAGCAACGCCAGAGGCGGAGGCAGGGGGATTGCAAGTTCTAAGGCCAGCCTCAGCAACCTAGTGAAGTCCTCATTCAAAATAAAAAACAAAGAGGGGTGGAATGTTGCTCAGTAGTAAAGCACCCCTGGGCTCAATCCCTAGTACACACACACACACACACACACACACACACACACACACGCACGCA